TCAGCATCTCCCCTTGAGGTGGCTCAGACCAAACATATGTAACACAAACTTGATCTACCTCATTAAAACCTATTCTTTCCAAATCATCTTCGGTGAAGCGAAGGACAACACACAATAAAGAGGAAGTCAGCACAACTGGGCTAAACCAAAAACTAAGAAGCTTCCTGAATACAACCAAACACTTTGAGGGACAGAGTAGCTGGGGCTGGGGCCTGGGGACCATGGTTTCGGGGGACATCTAGGTCAACTGGTATAACAAAGTTTATTAAGAAAATGTTCTGCATCCCACTTAGGTGAGTGGCGTCAGGGATCTTAAAAGCTTTCGAGTGGCCATCTGAGATGTGTCAATTGGTCCCAACCCACTTGGAGCAAAGGAGAATGAAGACCACCAAAGACACAAGGAAAATATTAGCCCAAGTGACAAAAGGGCCACATAAACCAGAGACTCCATCAGTCTGAGACCAGAAGAACTACGTAATACCCGCCCTCCAAAAAAAGAACAAAAAACCCATTGTTGTTGAGTCAATTCTGATTCATAGTGATCCTACAGGACAGAGTAGAACTGCCCCATAGGGTTTCCAAGGAGCAGCTGATGGATTTGAACTGCTGAGCTTTTGGTTAGCAGCCAAGCTCTTTAACCACTTCACCACCAGGACTCCGAGACAGTGCCCGACTACCATCAATGACTGCCCCGACAGGGAACACAACAGAGAGTCCCTGACAGAGTGGGAGAAAAGTGCAGAGCAGAACTCAAATTCACATAAAAAGACCAGACTTAATGGTCTGAATGAGACTGAAGGAACCCCCGAAACCATGGCCCCCGGACGCTCTGTTAACCCAGAACTAAAACGATTCCTAAAGCCCACTCTTCACACAAAGATTAGACTGGACTATAAAACATAAAATAATACTCCTGAAGAGCGTGCTTCTTAGTTGAAGCAGATACACAAGACCAAATGGGTGGATCCTGTCCGGAGGCAGGATGAGAAGGCAGGAAGGGACGGGAACTCGTTGAATGGACACAAGAAACCGGGGGTGGAAAGGGGGAGCAGTGCTGTCACATTATAGGGATTGCAACTAGGGTCACGTAACAATACGTGTGTAAATTTTTGTAAGAGAAGTTAACTTGAGCTGTAAACTTTCACCTAAAGCACAATAAAAAAACAAACAAACCTATTCTTTCCAGAATCGTCTCCATCTCACGAAATGGTAACTCCATTCTTCCAGTTGATCCAGTGCCAAACCGTGGCATCATTTCTTTAAGTTTCACCCTTTTCACAACCCACAACCAAGCCATCAGTGACCTCTATCAGCTCTACTTGCAAACACGTCTAGATCTCTTCTTGCCCCCTCCACTGTGACCACCTAGTCCAGACCAACATCTCTTGCCCCGATGGTTGCCATACAGGCTGTTCCTTCTGCCTGGAGGGCTTGGTCCACTCTGCCACCTTGGTTAGAGTTTGCTCAAATGCTGCCTTCGCTGTGAGGCCTTCCCTGATCCCTGAGTTCCTTATCTTCCTTCCCCGTCTCATTTTTATTCGTACCACTCATCACTCTCTGATGTGCTGTATGGTTTATTAAGCCAGTGTTAGTTACCTGGTGCTGCTGTAACACTGATACCACAAGTCAGGGCTTTAAAGAACAGAAATGTATTGTCTCACATTTCTGGAGGTTAAAAGTTCAAATCAGGGTCTTGGCCCTGTCGATTTCTTCCTTGTCAGTAGCCCCAGGTGTTCCTTAGTTCTTGGTGATCTTCACACTGTGTTTGTCCTCCCCAGGGTGTGCTCCTCTGTGTTTACGCTGCTATTTGTAATACTCAGAAGTGGTGAGGTTTAGGACACACCTTACGTTGATATGGCCCCATCAACATAACAATGAAAATCCTATTTCCAAAAAGGACTGGGCTGTGACCAACACGTTAAGTACTGACAGTATCATTCCATTTTTAGACGATTTTACTTCTTTTCTTTATTGATTCATACTTATATTGTTTTATAATTTAAAGAGCTGATTAAAATTGCTTGTTTCACCGAAAATATGATGACCTTTCTTATCTAAATCCTTAACCTAAAGCGGATAGAAGATCCCAACCCTCCTAGCTTCTCTCAGGTCAGATAAAGTCTGAGACATGTGGTACTCCCCTTCTAAAATGAAGCGTCACCCATCGTCTGGGGTCTAGAGGTAAGCACAACATTCCAAGGAAATATGTAGGTACGTGTAGGACTGTTCCTTAAGCCCTCCACTTTTCATGTTGCCAGAAGGGCACTGAGATTTAATCGATAGTATAGTTTATTAGGAGTAATTGATGAGGATTAAGAAATCAGCATGAGGCATTGGTGTTTTAGTGGTAGAACTCTGTTCTGCCATGCAGGAGACCCAGGTTCAATTCCTGGCCAATGCACCTCAAGCACAGCCACCACCTGTCTGTCATTGGAGGCTTGTGTGTTGCTATGATGCCGAACAGGTTTCAGTGGAGCTTCCAGACTAAGAAGGACTAGAAAGAAAGGCCTGGCAAACTGCTTCTGAAAATCAGCTAATGAAAACCTTATGGATCACAATGGTCAGGTATTCAACTGATTATGGGGATGGTGCAGGACGGGACAGCATTTTGCTTCATTGTGCCTGGGGTTGCCATGAGTCGGGGCTAACTTGATGGCAGCTAACAACAACAACGTCGTTTATTAGGAGTAATTGGTGAGGCCTAAGGAATCGGGCTCAGGACTGCTAAGTGTATGCATGTATCATGGATTGAATTGTGTTCCCCAAAAATATCTGTCAGCTTGGCTGATGATTCCCAGTATTGTATGATTGTGTACCATTTTGTAATCTGATGTGATTCCCTTATGTGTTGTAAACTCTATCACTATGATATAATAAGATGGATTAGTGGCAGTTATATTGATGAGGTCTACAAGATTAGATAGTGTCTTAATCCAATCTCTTTTGAGATATAAAAGAGAACAGCGAGCAGAGAGACATGGGGACTTCATACCACCAAGAAAGCTGCACCAGGAACAGAGCGTGTCCTTTGGACCTGAGGTTCCTGTGCTGAGATGCTCCCAGACCAAGTGAAGACTGATAATATGAACCTTCCTCCGGAGCTGACAGAGAAAGCCTTTCCCTGGAGCTGATGCCCTGAATTTGGACTTCTAGCCTACTAGACTGTGAGAGAATAAACTTCCCCTTGTTAAAGCCATCCACTTGTGGTATTTCTGTTACAGAAGCACTAGATGATGAAGACAGCATGTTACTGGCTAGGGCCTTGGCACACAGGAGCAGCAAATGGGGGCCGAGTTTCTTGCCACCGTCCTTATGGCCTGGTCTGTGGGAGCATAAACTTCCCTTGGCCCTTGTTGGATCCAGGGACGCCAAGCTGCTGCCCACCTGGCCCCTTCCCTTCCAACACTGTTCTCATGCCTCCTTACCCTTGCCCTGGAGCCTCCCCTCTACCCCTGGTGCTGGGCCTAGGTTCTCATCAAGCCTGGCCAACTGGCCCATGTCTGCTGCGGAGCCACTGGCTGTTCTCCCTCCTGCATACAGTGACGGCTGGAGATGACTTGCCTGAGCGCCTGGTGGCCCTACTGCAGGACCCTTTGAGGATGGAGGGATTTCCCGTGACAGCTGTGTTGTGTGTGGGTCCTTCCACAGGAGTGTATTGCCCCTTGCACTCTGAGCTTTAGCTACAAGACAGAGGCCTGAGCAGGGGCCGTCGGAGATAGGGAAAGGCTGCATGTGGACATGAGCCCAGGAGGACAGGAAAGTAGGCTCAGGCCAAGTGCTCCAGGAAAATGGCAGGTGGGGTCACCATTTACAGCTCTCAGACCATGTGATTAAACGCCAGCCAGAAAGTATCATCAAGGTTCCTAAAGCAGTCGGGTTTCTCCTGGCCTCCTCAGCGGTTCTTCCCAGCATTTGCTAAAGGAATAGTTAACAGATGCTAGTACTAGTTCGAGAGGCTCTGATGGCACAAACGATTGACGTTCGGCTGCTAACAGAGGCTGGTGGTTCAAGTCCACTCCAAGGTGCCTTGGAAAAAAGACCTGGCAGTCTATTTCCACTGAAAACCCTATAGAGCACTCTGACACACATGGGGTCACCATGAGTCGGAGTCCACTCAAGGAACGACAACGGGTTATTTTTAGTATCAGCTCAGATGGAAGCTGGGGCTGTCCACCGCAGAAGAGAAGCCAGTGAATTGCTGCTGGGGCGCTGGGGTGTGTGTGGCTTGAGGAGGCTCCTAACCGGGCTTCTCGCCAATGCCTAGAAAGCCAAGCGGCCAGGCATGCTTTGTTTGGTCGTTTTTCCTTCTGACTTTTATTTCCTTACCAGTGGGGCTAATTGCTCACTGGTAGAAAACGACACCGTCCTTATTCTGAAATTTATGAGAACTGTTTTTGTCCCAAGGAAGCCCTTGCCCTCCTGCCCCTGGGTTTAAGCCAAGATACCGAGACTGCCTTTTGTGGGTGTTGCCCAGGCATCTTAGCCCCGCCCTGCTCCGGATTTTCCCATCATGCACTGAGGTGGCCGCTCCCCAAGCCTCAGGACCCCACGGTGCTCGTGGGCGGCGCCTTCTGCCCTGCTCGCCACCCCTGAGCCGGGACAGGGCTTACACTGTGGTTGTCAGCACCTTCGAGGACAGAATGACAGTCTGGAAACAGAAATTAATCCTACCCATTGCAGCAACAGCCATGTCTGAAAGGTTTATTCTTGCATTGCAAACAACTGCCCCGACCAAACCCCCAAGTTGCTTTTTATTAAGCTTTATTAAATCACCCACATAAATACATATAATAAATTAAAAAAAAGAAAAGTTTCTTTCTTTTTTTTTTTAGTCTTTGGTATATCAGGCTTTCTCCTCTTCTTGTTTTATCCTCCTCCCTTGTTTTCTAAGCGTACTTCGCCATGTTCACATTATTTCCTTTCCAGAAGTAAACTTTGTGCTAGAACACTTAATTAACATTGATTAACAGTCTTGGGCCCTGGCGCCTCCTGGTGACCCCTGGGGACTCACACATAGTCGTTCAGCCGGTAGCCGCTGTGCGACGCGGAGGTCACCGAGGGGGCCCGGTTGTCCTTGTAGGCGGCCGGTGGCCGGTATGCTGGCGCGGTGGCCGTGGCGGCCCTGGGCTGTGCCTGGTAGGGCCTGTAGGGCGCCTCGTCCTGGCAGGACAGACAGAGCAGCGTGCCGCCGATGATGGAGAGGGAGGAGGAGATGAAGCCGAGGTACAGGGCCTGCCCGATCTCGAACTTCATGCTGCTGGGCAGCAGCGGGTTGTAGAAGTTTTCCACCACGTCGTTGGTGGTCCAAGAGACGGCCACCATGCACAGGAGGCCAGCCAGGATGAAGAGGGTGCCCCCAAGGATGGCGAAGGTGGTCTTGGCAGGCGTGCCCTTAGCACACCGGGTGCACTTCATCCCGATGACGGCGCAGGCGCAGGCCATGCCCGAGAGCAGGCAGGAGATGACCATGAGCGCCCGGGCAGCCTGCAGGTCTCGGGGCAGCGCCAGCAGGGACCGGTAGACCTGGCACTGGTAGATGCCCGTGCTGTGCCACACACACTCCATCCACAGTCCCTTCAGGTAGGACACGGCGGTCAGGATGTTGGTGCCCACGTGCGCCGTCCTGCGCCAGTGCGGCAGAATGGTGGTGATCAGAGTGCCCACCAGGCCCAGGAAGCTGAGCAGGAAGCCCAGGAGCTGGACGGCCGTGCTGGCCATGGTCCCTGCGGGACGGTCCCCAGGACGCCGGGGCTGCTCTTGCTCAGGCGCCGGCAGGAGTCCTAATAAAGCTGGGAGAGGCGGGAGCGGGGAGAGAAAGGAAATGGGTTAAATATTATCTCGATGCATTTATTTCTGCCACTGAAACTGAGTTTTCCATAGGCAATTAGTATGACGATTAACATTTTTTTTTTTTTTTAAACAGCTTCTGAGAATTCCTTGGGTGAGAGAATAAGCTGGTCTACCTGACTGCTAAGCTCTTTCCTGGGAAGCCAGAAGCAGAGGAAAGACAGTAGAAATCCTGCCTGTCTGCTCTTGTCCAGGACCTCAGGGAAGTCACTCCCCAGCCCCTACTTGTGATTGCTCACAGCACTTAACGACCACCTGTAGGAAGTTCTACCTACGTCTAACCTCAAACACATTGACTTCATCTGTCTCGTTTTGTTTTGTTTGGTCAGTAAGCACTTGGTTGTTAAATCCACAAATATTATTCATGCATTCAGAGTGTGCTAGTTACAACTTAGAAAACAACTTTGGCTGCCTGTTAGGATGAAATGTCTTCTGAAAGTGGGCCAACTTTACTACTTGCCCATGTTGTTGATGTTAGCTGCCATCAAGTGCCCCTGATTCACAGCAACCCCATGTACAATGGAATGAAATGCTGCCTGACCCTATGCTATTCCCATGAGAAGTTGTGGATCAGACCATTGTGATCCATAGGGTTTTCAGTAACGGATTTTCAGAAGTAGATTACCAGGCCTTTCTTCCTAGTCTATCTTAGCCTAGAATCTCCACTGAAATGTGTTCAGCATTGTAGCAATATACAAGCCTCCAGTGACAGATGAGTGGTGGCTGCACATGAGGTTCATTGGCCAAGAATCAAACCCAGGTCTCCTGAGTGGAAGGTGAGACTTCTACCACTGAACCAGGCAGGGAGGGGCTTAATACCCACAGGCAGGTTAGATGCTGGCTTTCAGAATTCCAGAGCTACATGTGACCTTAGAGATTGTCTACTGATGCCACAGGGCAGGAATTACCAAGGCCACCAGCTCCTTAAGAACTGTAGCCAGTACCACAAACCAGCTTGCTCAGCTCGGAGCCCGGTGCCTCCCCTCTCTCCTCCCTGCTCCATTTCCCCAGCCTGCTGATTCGTAAGACTGCAGTTAGTGAGGGCATCCAGTGGGCTGGGCTTTGTTACAAGACAATGGCTGATAGCTGGCTTTTGGGAATACAGGGATGCTGAACCTTTCCAGAAGGTTTGTGAAAAATTGTAACCATAGCAAAATCCAGAACACTTCTTGGGGACAAAGATCCAGGGGATACTCAGGACATATTGGAAGGAAAGGAGGAGAAAGGAAGGGAAGGAAAGAGGGAAAGAGGGAGGAAGAGTGGGATAAACGAAGGAAGGGAGGGAAGAAGAAAAGAAATACCAGAGGGGATACCCTAGCTCCTCTCTCTTGCTGGGCCGTGGTAAACAACAAAAGACAGAAAATTGAGACTCTTGATCCATGTCCCAGTCCCTAGGTGGCTCAGATGGTTAAGTGCTTGGCTGCTAACCAAAAGATGGGTGTTTCAAACCCACCCAATGGTGCTTCAGAAGAAAGGCCTGGAGGTCTGCTTCTGAAAGGTCACAGTCATGGAAAACCCTGTGGAGCACAATTCTACTCTGCACATATGGGATCACCATGAGTTGGAATCAACTGGAAGGTAACTGGTTTGGTTTTTGGTTTGATCCCTCTCCTGGCGCTGCCCCCACCCTCCGGGTGACATGGGGCCTCTCTGGGGCTCAGTGTCTTCCTCTTCACAACAAAGGAGGAAGAAAAGGGAAGTTTCTCTGCTGAAAAGACCTCACTCCAGAGTCCCAAATCAGTGAAGAATTTAGCAGACAAAACCCGCTTCTTCCTTCTTCCATACTGCGGAGGAATGTCGCCTTTCAGCATATGAAGGATGCCAGAGAGAAAGAGCCCTCCGCGGCCGCTGGCAGCCTGTCTCCAAGGCAACACAGATGCTCACTGCGAGCCTCCTTTGGGGTCCCTCAGGCCTTCTTGTCTTTAATCCTGGCATGTTATTAAGAAACCCCCGATTAGATGTAAATTACGAGGAAGGATTTGGTTAGTAACCACAGCTGACGTTTCCACTGGGGCCTCTTCTGTTGTTGCGCTGGGTTTTGAACAACATACTGGGCTTAGGGTTCTTAGCACTGTAGGAGGTTATCATTTGTTCTGCCTTGGTTTAACAAAACAAAACAAAATGGACAAAAATGACGCAGGGCCTCACAGGACACATAGCTGTCTGGGGGCGTGTCCAGGTAGGAGTTGCAGCTGACGTTTTAAATAATTACTTGTTTTCTTCACATATAATATGTGTTTGATTGCTACATGCCCCTTGACCTGAAGCTGGCTTTCCTGCCTCCACTCAGCAAGCGCCTCTCTACCCAGGGGCTGGGCTCAGGGCTGGGGGGACTGTCATCAGAGAAGGGGCGGGGCCAGCTTCCTGTGGTCACTGCCATGGAGGAGGTGGGGCCCAAAGAGAGCACCAAGGCTGAAAATGGCCTCTGTCATAGGTGGCTGGGACTTCATACATGGAAGCCCAAGCAGAGCCAACACTGACACCTCTATTCATTGGGCTTAAAGTGTACCAGGTACTGTGCTGAACACCGACATGTATTACCCAGTTTTCTCCCATAGCAGCCCAGTGGAGCAGCTACTACTACCATCCCATTTTACAGACTGGGAAATTGGGTGCAGGGGATGAAAGCTCTATGCCTGACCTGCTATCTTAGTTATCTAGTGCTGCTTTAACAAAAATACCATAAATGGATAGTTTTAACAAAGAGAAATTTATTTTTTCACTGTCTAGCAGGCTACAAGTCCAAATTCAGGGCACCACCTCCTGGGGAAGGCTTTCTTTCTCTTTTGGCTCTGGGGGAAGGTCCTTGTCATCAATCTTTCCCTGGTCTAGGAGCTTCTCCACACAAGAGAAGGTCCAGAGGATGCGCTCTGCTCCTGTCACCGCTTTCTTGGTGGTATGAGGTCCCCAACTCTCTGCTTGCTTTTTCCTTTTATCTCTTGTAAGATAAAAGGTGATGCAAGCCACACCCGAGGGAAACTCCCTTTACACTGGATTGGGATGTGACCTGATCAAGGGTGTTACATCCCACTGTAATCCTCTTTAACATAATCTAATCATTAACCACAGGCAGAGATTAAGATTTACAACACATAGGAAAATTGCAATCACAAAATGGAGAACAACCATGCAATACTGGGAATCATGGCCTAGCCAAATTGATACATATATTTTTTGGGGACACAATTCAATTCATGACACCTGCCTAGTATTTTCCCTGGTTTAATCTTTGCTTAAACACTACCTTCCTCAACTAAATAGTGCTGAAGTTAGTGTGAAGGCTTGTTCTTTTTAGCTGCCGTCACGTTGGCTCTGACTCCTGGTGACCCCACATACAATGTTGCCCAGGTACTTCTCCATCTTCACGATCGTTGGTATGCTCAAGTTCATTGCTGCAGCCAGTGTGTATTTTGAGTGCCTTCCAATTTAGGGGGCTCATCTTCCAGCACTATATAGGACAATATTCTGTTGTGATCCATAGGATTTTTATCGGCTGATTTTCAGAAGTAGATCACTAGGCCCTTCTTCCTAGTCTGTCTTAGTCTGGAAGCTCTGCTGAAACTTTTCCACCATGGGTGACCCTGCTGGTATTTGAAATATCAGCAGCATAGCTTCCAGCATCACATCAACACAAAAGCCACCATAGAACAACAAACTGACAGACGAGTGGGTAGTGGAACATGAGGGCTAAGGGGTGGCGTAATTAACATATTCGGGGAGAATTAAATCTCCTTCCCCAAAGACACCCCAGAAGAGTGGCCTTGATGCTTTTGCAGTGGTTTAGGTAGGCAGCCTGACCATTCTGGTTTGCCAGGGACTGAGGGATTTCCTGGGATGCCAGATTTCCAGTCCCAGGCAAACCAGGATGACAGCTCCTCTTGGTAGCCCATAGGCTGCAGAATTCTCAGAATGGCCTCTGTGCTCCCTGCCTCCCCCCACCCCTCCCCCTGGCCCGAGCTTGGTCTGAAGGCTGCCTCCAGGCTGATGGCTACACAGCCTCTCCTGGTCCAGGG